TCTGGATTGTGAAATGCGTGTGCCTTTTGTTACGTTTTTAATTAAATTCTTTAGTATTACATGCCTTGATCTAGCTCAATAAAAAATGGAATGTATTTAAATGTATTTAAATCAAACACACATACACGCACACAAACACACACACACATACACACATGGTAAACTTGGTGACCCGTCAAAAGAGCGCACGACAAAAGAGCGCCGACATAAGAGCGCAGACAAAAGAGCGCCGACATAAGAGCGCCGACATAAGAGCGCACCAATTTGCCGACAAAAGAGCGCCGACATAAGAGCGCAAACTAAAGATCTAAAAACCATATTTAATAAATAGCAACAAGAAAATTTACTCATATCAGACGTCATCGTTTGAATCTAACTCTTTATTGCTTCATTAAAAAACTAATTGTTCGGTTTCTTTAACTAAAAAACTGATATAATTAACATGAAGTCGAATTATTCAAAACGCAACGTAGTAACACATACAAAGATTTTAAAAGTTAGGCCTAAAGTGAGAGTATAAACTAAAATGAAATGTAACAAAATGAAAATAATTTCAGATTAATAAAATGTTTCTTTATAGTTGCATTTATAATGTTAAGTTGTGGGCTATACCCCGTAGGTAGTCCATCATTGAATCATTCGCATAGGTTGAAACAATCGTCTGCAATCTTCGGTTCAGCTGAACATATTTGTTCTTTGAAGCTTCTGGTCGATTAACTCCAGCCAGATGACGTTCCAGTTCGATTTCGATGTGATCTTGTATCAGACGAAACTGGTTGATCAATTTATAAACTGAAGGATGATTGCAATCTACCGTTTGTTGGAATGCGCGATGCCATGCCTCGACTGAGTTGTTCGTACGTGGTAGATTTTCAGAGACACGATTATGGATATTCCAAATAGCAAGAGCGAAGCGTGGGTCACCTCGACGGTTTCTCCTTCGCCTCCCTATGTAACTATCCTCCCAATAATCTACCAGTGGCATAATTTCTGCAGGACTAGCTTCTACTAAATGCTCGAATGTGGTACAGACATCATTTACATAAACAAAACTTAAGGCAAGCAGCATCTTCACTGTCATTCGACATTCCTCGTTGTCGTGATACAGTTCCATCCGTACTTCCATCAGCATTTGCTTTGTCCTTTCGATATCTGTAGCCTTCGACCAATAAGATAACCTTCCCTTTCTGTGATTCTATCTTCTCCATGTAACTTGGGCTAGAAATTTTTTTCAAACTGCATTTATAGCATATCAACCACAATATATAAATAAACACATGTCGTTTTATCGTACCGCCGATTGTTTAATGCCATATTTGTTTAGCTTACAACATGTGTTTTTATAATTGACTGCGCTCTTTTGTCGGCGCTCTTATGTCGGCGCTCTTTTGTCTGCGCTCGTATGTCTGCGCTCTTATGTCTGCGCTCTTTTGTCTGCGCTCTTTTGTCGGCGCTCTTTTGTCGTGCGCTCTTTTGACGGGGTGCCCAAGCTGCCGGTAAACTTAATCCATATATGTTCATGTTTCGAATTACATTCCTTTAAAACGTACACTAACTATCCCTTGAGCAACATATATTTTGAAATTTTAACTCAAGCTAACAAAAGAAAAACAAACGTATATCTAAATTACATTACCGTAGGCCCCATAATCAATTGTTTTAACAAAATATAAAAAGTTAACAAACAATACAATCAAACCATATTTGTCAAAATAATCACATTTTAAAATAATTTACGAGAAAAAAAATATAAGTTAAAATTGACACGTGGACGTCTTTCTGTCTCATGTGTTAAATTAGATAACAGATTAAAGGAACTTTTACCTCTCTAGGGACTACAGATTACCAATGAAGGGACTGTTCAATAATCTCTCTCTCTCTCTCTCTCTCTCTCTCTCTCTCTCTCTATATATATATATATATATATATATATATATATATATATATATATATATATATATATATATATATATATATATATATATATATATATATATGATAGAGACAGACCCATTATCTCGCTCCAGTATTTTCCATTTTGAGATATCTCACAATCGGGCAAGTGTCTGTCGTAATTTTTCACAGAAACAAATTTTTCGTTTTTAATTCTAATTCGTTCGAGGGTGCGGTAGACGTTCTTCGGGGGAGGGGGGATGCTTGCTTGACAGAAATTGTGAAAGAAACTTTGGTCAAATATAAGCTTAGGTGCAGGTTTAGGGTAATGATACGATATTATTTAGTATATAATAGCGTGGGGGAGGAGAGGTGCAAGACTGCCGGGAACCAAGAAGGGTTTGCTCTCGACCCTAACCAGATATCTTGACTTTAAGCGGCGGCCTTCACGTGGCTTCGGAAGAGTGCCACTAGTCGGAGCAAGCTCATGACACCCCTAATGGGTGCGGAATGGCTAGTGGTAGGCAACAGCAGCTAGAGGTTTTTGATCTGGCCGAGTAGAACTGCTGTATGCGCTAGGTTCAAAGAATGGCCGAACGCCCCCCAAGATCAAGCTGGGTACCAGGCGGTAGGACGACGTCCCGCGTCTGGTGGGTGGGGAAGGAAAGCCCGGTGAGAGCCGACGGAAGTAGCGACCGATGTGTGGGAAACTCTTATGGTCGGAGATTGCTACACTGAGGCCTGCCTGGCTAATGGAAGTCAACATTCTGAGCCGGTTTCCGTATAAGGAAGGAAGATCAAATTACCAGATAAAGTATCGTGGTGATATCAACAATCATAAACTGAAATCCTTATGATAACAAAAGCGTGTACTCAGTGTACTCTCAGCTCTGAAGAGTACATGACTGTCATTAGGGAATGTAAAGGCGGTTGGTATTAGCGCTGACCACACTATCTCTTCATATGCCTAATTCACTGAAAAAGGTGAACTCTATTCCACCTACCCCATGGACTGTCCGATTTCAAATGGTACAGTGTACCTATCGTTATTTGTCATGCTTTCTAAGTCATTCCACTGGTATTTAAGTACATAACTAGCTGCCATTTTCTCTTATCTCAAACAATTAAATCCAATGTACAAGCAATCTTCTTATTTATTCCTACAGGCGTTAGTTAAAAAGAATTTTAGGGCAAGCAAACAACAGATCAGCGTAAACCTACACATTTAAAAGTAATTTTCAAATTTTATGAGATCAATCATTTTTTTATTTTTTAATATAATAGTTTATTACAATTCATTTGTACTAAAAATGTTATCAACAATTAGAATTAAATATGTCATATGCATAAATGCTACAGGATGAAAGCATACAGAACATTTGTAAAAGCGTAGTATATATTTAAAAAACTCGTTTTGTAGCTGTTAGTATATTATTTTAAATTGGCACTTTCATTTTCTCAACTAAACTATTATTTGTTCTTCCCCTTCAAATCATTACATTTTTAATGAGTTACTATATATTTTCTTTAAAATTACTGTTTAGCATAATAATAAGGTATGGGTTAGATCACCTTATTGCTCACACGCTTCTTTACTAGTATTTGCACAAACAAGCTTTAGCTTTTCGAAAAGTTATGATTCTGACTTGTAAACAAGTATATTTTTTTCCAGAAGTTTGGTTATCCATTTTTGGAAGCATTTTAACTTTTATCCTCAGCATTTTTAATGGTCTCAACTAAATTTACTGGAGGTATGTAAGTATATGTTCGTTAAGTACAACTTTACGGGCTGATCGTCTTGAAGTTAGTTGACATTGTGTCTATTTTTCTTTACATTAATGCAGCTCCTTTCCCCAGCCCCCACTCAAAATAATGGCATACATGGCATACAGTTTTTAAACACAATCAACATAAATTATGTTCATCTGTATAAGTTGCATGCGGAGATGTTCTAGATCAGCTGACATACAAGTGACCTGCAATTTCAATTCCTGCTAGTATCGGCGAAGTTAAGTAAAATCTTACTCTAAGTGACACTTTGTTCAATTAACCAATGTCTCTAGATTGATCATAAAACCCAACGATCGTATACCTTCCATATAAAAGATGTATAATTGAATTGAGTTTGACAAACGCTACAGTAGTAAATTATGATCAATATGTGAGTGGTTGGCGGTCCATATCGAGTAGGAATAATACAGAGATCAGACTTACATAAATGTTAAAATGGGTTTACATTGTGACAAAAAGAAGCACCTCACTCCTGCATGGCGCTGAGGTAGGCGTCGAGAAGTAAGCTAACACGTATATTTTTGATGAGTCATAATATGACAATTTTTAAATCACACTTTTTGTTAGGTTGGTCTATTTGCCGTTTTGTTTGAATTAATTTTTTATGAAACTTTAACTTTTTTAATTTAATTAAACTCTGAAAAGATGCCACTTTTATTGAAGTGGACGTAGGGGGGAGCGGGGAACTGTTCTCCCCCTGCTCTCCTCCCCCCCCCCCACCCCTGCATACGTAACAGATGACGACTGAATTCGGGACATATTCTCGTTCAAAATATCTCACGGAAGATTGATCTCAGGACAAATTATCTCAAGACTTCTATCTGATAATTAATTAAAATAAAGTATTGTTTTTTTATTACTATTAGGCCAATGTGAATTAGTTTTGGCATATCTTTGTTTTATTTATTTTTGTCGAATGATTTGAACATAAATATCGTGCTATTTTACAGTGTGTTACCCGGGTGTCGTTCTGCTTGCTATTTGTTATTGACACATTATAAATGCAGCAGGCATTACATTGCAACACTATTTTATCAACACTTTAAATGTATATCTTTGCTCATTATATTGTGTCATTGTTTAATATTCTCTTTTCTACTTTTCTAAAGCCCATGCGTAATTCGCTAAAACCGAAACTATTGGTTTCGATTGGTATTTTGTTTTTGTATTACTTTTCAGGTATTTAAATAAAATTATTAACCCTATATTAGTATGATGGTATAATAAAAACGAATTTCTTAACTATTTTAAAACGTTTTTTTTTTATAATAACCATTCATAACCGAACACGTAAAGATTATTAACAAAACGTTCAATACAGTTTGCAGGATTTTATTGAGGGAAAATAGCAAACACTGTTTCCCATAACTTATTTTGATATAACATTTGAATATTCTGAGTCGATTTCACCGATCATAAAATATATTGAGATGATATCCCCAAATAAGTTGGCAGCTGTGAGACCACACTTTTCCAGTAAAGAATCTGCAACACAGTCTTTGAATTGTCCTCGAAAGCATCTATAAAAGAAAGAGTCATAGTTACAATAAAGTAGGGATTAAACCTGAAATAGGTTACTAGGTTACATAAATAAAGAAACAAGCAAACAAATAAATACATAAATGAATAAATGAATACACAAATAAATGTATAAATAAATTCATAATAATATAAAACCAAAAATATAAAAACTTATATATATATATATATATATATATATATATATATATATATATATATATATATATATAATTATATATATATATAATTATATATATATATAATTATATATTATATATTATATATTATATATTATATATTATATATATTATATATATATATATATATATATATAGGCATACATATTACTACTTATTGGGGATATGCATCTACATATAGGGCCTATATTATATAAACTTAATATACACAATTATATGTATATATATATATGTATATATATATATATAATATTGCATTAACTATGGGTTTATAATACCATTTGTGATACTGTGTGTGTGTGGTGTGTAGTGAGAACAGCGTGTTACCCTGTGTATAACGGTGTGTCAATTTGTGTGTGAAGTACCTATAAGAGCTGGGTGGACTCAGAGACGTCCTGAATACAGGAGCCCGTTGTTTTAAACCTGAGATTTCTGGGTTAGCAGTCGAACGCTCCACACTTCAGCTTTTTATTTTAGTGTATTGTGACAGCACCATTCCATTATCATCTACCGCGATTCATTACGATACACTAAAGTGCAACTAAGTTTATTGCAATATATACACACATTTCTCTATACTCGTTCACACTATACTGCGATACATCATAACGCGTAAAACACGACTTTACACCACATAACATTGAAATACACAGCAATAATGTATTTCTTCAATCAGCATCTTTCCTTTCAATGCAATCATGTTTTACAAACCCATTTTTTTCGATTGTGTAGGCCTATATTTTTCAAGTAAGTAGTTTATAAATAGTCTTACCTAAGTGAAAATGAGTTGTCTGATCTGAAGCACGTATCCATTTCTGTAGTGCAATTAGTTATAGTATACATAACCGAATGAGGATTGTCCAAGCACTTGGTCGCATAAAGTTGTATATAAGCTGGGAAAATTAGATGCTATGAAAGTCATAAAGCAGTGTATTAAAACATACGTTATTTTTGATATAGGTGTAGTTGTAGGTGTTGGAGTTGGTGTAGGTGTATATGCAGGTGCAGGTGTAGGCGTAGGTATATTTGTATGTGTAGGTGAATGTGTATATGTAGGTATAGGTGCAAGTGTAAGTGTAGGTGTATGTGTATGTGTAGGTGCAGGTTCAGGTGCAGGTGCAGGTGTAGGTGTAGGTGTAGGTGTAGGTGTAGGTGTAGGTGTAGGTGTAGGTGTAGGTGTAGGTGTAGGTGTAGGTGTAGGTGTAGGTGTAGGTGTAGGTGTAGGTGTAGGTGTAGGTGTAGGTGTAGGTGTAGGTGTAGGTGTAGGTGTAGGTGTAGGTGTAGGTGTAGGTGTAGGTGTAGGTGTAGGCGTAGGTGTCGGTGTAGGTGTAGGTGTAGGTGTAGGTGTAGGTGTAGGTGTAGGTGTAGGTGTAGGTGTAGGTGTAGGTGTAGGTGTAGGTGTAGGTGTAGGTGTAGGTGTAGGTGTAGGTGTAGGTGTAGGTGTAGGTGTAGGTGTAGGTGTAGGTGTAGGTGTAGGTGTAGGTGTAGGTGTAGGTGTAGGTGTAGGTGTAGGTGTAGGTGTAGGTGTAGGTGTAGGTGTAGGTGTAGGTGTAGGTGTAGGTGTAGGTGTAGGTGTAGGTGTAGGTGTATGTGTAGGTGTAGGTGTAGGTGTAGGTGTAGGTGTAGGTGTAGGTGCAATAGCATAATCAAGTGCAGGTGCAGGCGCAGACACATGCGAAGATGCATCTGCAGGGTAAGTGTTGATTTTGTGTGCAGTGTATTAGACCCATAAGAATATGTTTTTTTTTCCTTAGAATTGCTTACCTGCATTTCCAGATTGACTGCAAAGGTCAAATACGAAAGTTTCTGCTTCGCTCATTTTATCCAGCTTCTCTTGCCATTCTTCGGTCTTACATTTGTTTTTTATATTTTTCAAACACGTTTTCAAATTATTTTTTGCGCTTGAAACAATCACATAAATAACCATTGAATAAACAATATTAAAGAACTGTGTTTTTTTTTATAAATGTATTACAAAACTTGTATATCAGATAAATAAACCTAAACTTTCTCAAATATTCTTATATAACACTACCGGGGCAGGCAACTCGGGATACAGACATATTTTTTAATCAACTTTTAATTACTTAAACTTTTTAGATATAACATCACCTCGTAAAAATAAGAATTGCGCACCAAGTGCGGAATAATATTAGTACTTTATACTTTCATTATGAAAAATCGACATTTTGCGTAAATTACTAATAAAAATTTGACAGAAGGCAGAAAATTAGATCTTTTACCTATAGGAAATTTTTATTTATCTATCTTAAACAGTACTCAAGTTTAGGCTTTTGAAAATAAAAAAAATAGAATAAGTTCCACTTCCGATTATCGGAAATAGCTGAAAAGTTGACAAAAACTACACATTTGATATAATACTTGTGTATGCAATTGAATTTTTGTTTTTGCTGTACCCTTCCGTAAAGTGTTCTAATCAACTCCCTAAAGTTTCATGGCGATCGGATGAACGGTGTCACACCACATCCGACTTTTATGTTTTTATATACCGTTTTTCAATCGATCCCTACCCGGGCGTCAAAACCCTGAGAATTTGAAAATCTTTTTTTTTTCGCAATAAAAACCTCCCTCTTGGAAAAAAATACTCAAGAACTTCCCAGTTTCATGTCGATCAGATGAAAGGTGTATCAATGCATTATATTGGTTAGTACCTTGCTTCTGGTTTGACCACTTTTCGAATATTTCCCTTATCTACCTCTATTTTGTCTGCTATAGCAGAATTGTAGTCTACGATACCGGAATGTTTTAATTGATACTGTTATCAACTTTTTATTTGTTTTAGTGTAAACGCTTATTGAACAATAGGTGACTTCAGTCAGTTTTGTTTTTTGGGAGGAGACGTTGAAGAGACGAATTTTTTTTTCTAGTTAGCTCACTCAATTATCTGACAATGCAATGTATAAGCATATAGTTAGCATGTTAGTATAAGCTTCTAATTAATATATTAGTATAAGTCATCAAATTAGCATAGAAGTACTCTTAGAATATAGACATGTTCGACTCCTTTTATTCTGGAATATTCTAAATGTTTTTAATAGATCAGTGGTTCTTAATTTTGATTTTGGCAGGTACCGGGCCCTACCATTTTCATATTAGCATTTGCCGAACCATTATTAATAGTTAGCACCGATAAAATCCTTTCGCCATTCACATGTATCCTGTGTGTGTCTTTGCCTCAGCCTACACATTTGAGACTGACTGGCATATCCCCTGGGGTTCGATCGAACCCAGGTAAAGAACCACTGGTATAGAGTATCTCGACATTTTTACAGTGTTAACGTTACCAGTAACTATTTTACTATCTTGGGTTAGCTGTTTATGACTTGACGACGTTTATGTGGTGACATAATTCCACACGCGATATAATTAAAATAACGATCTCCGCTTGAAGTAATAAATAATGAAAATGTCCCGACTATGTCGTTGAAGAATTTTTACTCACTCGCATGTTTCCGCATATTTTTTGCTGTCAAATTTCATAGGGTCTGAATTGTGCAGTGGAAAGTTTTTTAAAAAACAATCAGCTTCTTTCTCGCAATTGTTTTTAGGCACTTCATTTTGTTTGCCTAAAATAAAATAGAGATGTCAACAAATGATCATAGATAAACAAGCGACACACAAACACACAGATTCACTCACAGACACACAGACACATAGACACATATACACACAAACACATGTGTATGTTTGTTTACAAAATATTTTTAGAAAATTTAAAGAGCGAAAATATTTTTAAAAGTCACATTGATACCGAATATTAAAAGCTAATACTTCTTAAATAAAATAAGCTTAGAAAATAATTTTATCATGAATACAAAACCTGTAATATTATAAAAAAAATAGGTATAGCGAAAGACAAACTAAAACAATGTTCTCCTAAAGGTTTCTACTGTTATTAGAAAAAATAAAAATATAAGAATGCACATATACAATGATAATTTGTTAGCCAGTAATATTAAAGTAGTTGTTAAGCCACAGCTATGGGCTTATTTCAATTTTTAGCCGAATATTATCACTTGAAAAATAGGATGAAATATAAAAAGAAATTTTATTAAAATAACATGGGACGGCGCGGCCTAGCGATAGAGCTAACTCGATCACCTCGAGTTCAAATCTGGGTTCAAGTCAATGGAAGTTCATGAGTCCACCCAGCTCTGATAAGTACCTTACACACCTTAGAGAAAATAAAGTCGGCTGGGCTTAGTGCTAGCCTGCGTGTAACCTCTACTTCAACTGCCCAATCTAGATCTAAAGAGGAATCATTACATTTATGATTACTAAAGTAACACAACAACTTCTCATCAAGTTACGTGTAGCTGAAATGACGTCAATTAAAGACGCGTCACAAAGAGAAGTTTATCAAACATGTCATAAATGGAAATGTCTCTTACCTGCAAGGATGACAGACGCGATGCATGCCACGCAAAATTTGAACAACACGGACATGTTGAGAAGAATTGATTCTGGTCTACTCGTGATTCTCGTGTATTGTAGAAGTGTGATCGAAGGCTGTTTGCATACAGAGATGATAGCTTACACGTAGTGTTTGGACAAATGTAATAACAACGCTATGGTATATGTACCGTATTTGTTCACTAAACTACCCACAGGCTTTCTGTAATTTAACATAGGTGCAGTGGCGTCGTTAGTTTTCTACATAAATTCCATTTCGTTCAGGGGTAGACTTTCTTCGGGGTGTGGGGGGGGGGGGGGTGGGGGGAGGGGGGCTTTGAAACTCTGTGCGCTTCTATCTTAAGTTAGGTAGCTAAATGTTACTGGGTATAGAACTGACGATAATATCGCTTCATATTTAATTTAACTTAATTTTGCCCTAAGGCAGTTGCGTAGCGAGGTAGGGTTTCACCTGGTGCGGCACCTAATGGTGTCATCCCCCCTCCCGTAAGAAAGAATATATATATATATATATATATATATATATATATATATTCCATATACACTTGTAAGTATGTGTATACGCATGTGTAATATGTATTCTTTTATTTTCTCCTGGTTTGTTTTTTTTACTCCCCCCCCTCCATTGTTCGATTCTCAACCAAACTGTTTTCCTCGGGCATATTTTGCAACGTTGAGTTGATGAAACTTTGCTCTTAAAAGACTTTTTAATTCACTCTAATTAATCATTTAATTACGTGAAATTATCAATTTTCTCTATATATATATTGTAATTTTTTTGCCTTGGCGTCACCCCCCTAAATGGTCTCCCCCGGTGCGGCCCGCACCCCCCGCACCCCCCTCGCTACGCTCTGCCACTACTTTTTCTTTTTGCGCTTTTTTCCGTTTGCGTTTTATTCTGTTGTTCGCTTTTTTCCGTTTGCGTTTTTTTCGGTTTGCGCTTTTTTCTTGTGCGCTTTTTTCTGTTTGCGCTCTTTTCCTTTGCGCTTCTTTCTGGTCACCCTTTCTCAGATGTGGGGATGGTAAACTAAAGAGGTTGTGGCTCTTTTTAACATAATATATCGACACTAGAAGGATAGTGAACGTTGTGGTTAAACGGTAACGCATACGCCGTAGGATATGAGTGGAATTTAAATTATGCATAGTAACAGAAGAGTAAAATGACAGCGTCATATGAATAGGACTATACCTTAATACGTACCGTGGTTTTTTATTACTTTCAGGGCAAAGATTGATTGCAAGAAACATCACACACATTAGTTTTAAAGCAACCTAAAACTCGAGGCAAACTAAAATATACTAATTACTATCTAAGACAACGACAAAAAATCAACTAGTGACTATGCCAAACTTAGTCATCGTGGGGAACCCACAATAAGTAGACTTCACCTGTTTCTGTCTTTTCAGCATATGAAGGGATAGTGTGATCAGACCCTTGCTCTGTCGAAATAGGTGTTTTTAAAAGAAAATCATAAAGTATATACACTCAGAAAAGGACATATCATTAACGACTCAATTACACACACAATGTTTTAATTAAAGCTAAACTTAAGAAATTTAATATGTTTCAAAGGGGGTGATAACAGCTTAGAAAATGATTAGGTAAACATTTTCAAAAGTGGTATTTAAAACAATGGACAAGCTTCTTAGTTTAATTTAATAGTAAATTTAAACAGTAAAGGGTAGTCTGCATTTTATATATAATGCCAGTTTTTTTTTTATAAATCGGCCTAGGTTAGTGTTGATTTGCATTTAGCCTCAAGTATTATAATACTTTTAAGGTCAGGTATGGTCATTCTATTTCCACAGATATATTTGTAGACAATATTGGGGCCCTGTTGAGGTAGATCGAAACTAGGAAGGCGATTGATACTTGTTTTAATAATAAGTTTATAGGACTATTTTTAATTATGTTTGTATTATAATTAAACTTTTGTTCATACGAGTTTATTGGGTGTGGCTTTGAATGTTAGGTTATGTTATGGTGGTATGTATATATGAAATGAGATTCGATTTTTGTATACACATTTGGCTAAGTACAAAATAAATTAATATTTCTAGCTAGTTTTAGCGAAATAAGGGTTCGTCTAATCGTTCGGTTTAATATATTTTAAAGGAGAGCACATTGTTTGAAAGTTAGAGTTTGCATTGGAAAATAGTTTCAGATATATGTTAGAGTTTAGACATTTAGTTTATTTGGAGTTTAGATACAAAGTTTAGAGTGCTACAGTGTAGGTCTATAAGGAGGAAACGTTGCTTTTCGTGAAAACACGTTGTGCAGGAATGTGTGTGGGTTTAAGTCCCAGGGTGTCGTGTATGTGATAGTGTGTGAGTGTGTGTGTCTTTACGTGAACGTGTTTGAAAGGAATTCAGAATTAAATATTTCGTTTCCCCGATAAAGCCATAAAGATACAGAACATAAAAGAAAGGAATTTAATTAAAAATGCATCTGTTGCTTTTAAGGTTGCATTGTGGTTTTGTTTAAATTTAATCATCTATAATCTAGTATCACACGATCGCAATTAATTACAATGGGATACTGATGAATATGTATCTGTATTTCGGAAGCTGCCAAAGAGAAGCAAAGTTAGTTATTCTATCGAATAAGGGGCATCAATGATGGTCAGTAGTATGATTTCAAAGGTTTTTACCCCTAAAATGACGGATTGGTCTAGCGGTAGAAAGCTGGACTGCTAACCCGTAAGTCTCGAGTTCGAATTCGGGTTCAAGTCAGATGACCGTCTCTGAGTCCACCCAACTCTAAAGGGACAGTAAAGGCGTCTTGGCATAGTGCTGAACACACGATCGCTTCATATGCCGAGGTCACAGAAACAAGTGAACTCTAGATAGACCCGTCAGGCTCGGAAGGGAACTTTACTTATTTTTTTTTACTTACCTCTACTTCCCTAGCTAAGGAGCCTCAACTGATAAAAAATGCTTAATAACTTGTCTCGGTATAATAGTATAGTGAGCTACTAATCCATCCCACGCCTTGCAAAACATATTAAACGCTGAGCTTAATATTGATATGGATTTCTGTACAAGGTACAGATCTGTGCAAGGTACAGAAAGGGCCTGTATGAAAGAGAGGCGGCTGTGGTCAGGCGAGAGAGGGTATGGTTTTAATTCGAAAAGTCCCAAGTTCGTACACCGGGCAAATTAAGGAGAAAGTTACGCATTTAAGAATTAAAAGTTTAAAATCAGACAACAACTTCCTTCGAAAGGCTGTGAGTACAAATCCAGAAAGTAATGCATAAGTAGGAGTCAAGAGCCCTAATTTTGCATAACAATTGGTTTGTAGTAATTGATATGATTCAAATCAAAGCTCTTGCAGTTTTAAGTATCTCTGTGGGGGCGTCTTACACGTGTAAATACTTTGTTGGTGGCCATTTGGGTGTGGCATTTCGCAAATATAATTTCCTTGACAAAGCAATAAAGATAGGTGACACAAAGGAAAGGAATGTAATTAACGGACACAACTGAAAATCTGTTACAGTGCATTCCATAATCGAGAATAATTAATCCTGATAAGTTTGCTAGATATTATACGGAATGTAATCAGCCCATACCAATAAGTTCTTATTAATATTTACACAGGTGATTCTAGATGAATCATCATAATCATCATCATAATCATCATCACAATCATCATCATCATCACCATCACCATCATCATCACCATCACCATCACCATCACCACCAGCGACAAATAGACCCCGTCAAATAGGTTCAAGACAAATAGGCTCCCGGCATATAGACTCCAGATAAATAGGCTCAAGTCATATTAGACGAACGGGCTGTCATCAATAAAGCTCCCAACAAACAGACTCCCTGTATTCAACAACAAATAGGCTCCCATCGACAAAACGGCTCCAGTAATTACGACTTCCAACAAACAGCTCATGTCATTACGACTCCCGACAAATAGGCTCCCATACGACAAAAGGGCCCTTGTTAATACGCTTTCCGTAGAGACTAAGTCTCCCGGTAAAACGTCGTCATTGAATATGACACCTTTAGGGTTAGCATAACCTTCAAATTTAAATAATATAAGTTTTTCATTCAAGCATATAAAATAGATTATAGCGGTAGTAGTGCTAGGAACTGAGTGTAGTTGGTGGGTTGTACACAATTGTTACGTTTATACCAATAGTGGTCATGCGATTCCTTTGTCAGGAGCCAATAAGTTGCAGTCATTTTGTCGAGAGCCCATATGTCGGTAGCCCAATTGTCACGAGGTAATATGACGGGAGCCTATTTGACGGGAGCCAAATGTTGGGGCCCTTTTGACGCGGCTATTTAAACTGGGTCGTTTTCCTGGGGGTCAATTTAACAGTAAAAAAATGGTTGAAAGCAACTTCGGTTGTCATGGAAACGAAAAAAAACCCTCCGCAATTGTGAATTTTTTGGTACTTTAAAAAAGGCTTAGGCTTTTTTAATGTATGCATTTAAAACAATCAAATATACACTACGTGTATGTCAATTAATATTACAAATTTTGTCAAATTTTGTCACGAAAACATATTGACAGAGCTACTAGTATGAATAATGGCACCCTTTGCAATATGAAAAAGTTTCAAAATATGCATATTATTTACCATATTTTTTTTTCTAATTATAGCCTTCACAATTCGCTCGTAAAAAAAAGTTGTATTTTTTAATGAACACTCACTGAAAATATTGTAGGTATTGTTTCATAAATTAAACAGTAGTAGGCATTTGAGTGTTAAAAAACTGCGAACTGAGAAAAAAAAGGTCATGAAAAATAGGATACGAATATAACATTTCCCTGTAATTTGTAAACATTATTATAAGCTTTTGATATTTCCAAAATGATGGAAAATACGATTATCAAATACATTGGAAATTCAATTTTCCAATTATTTCAATAAAATATTAAATTTTCGAAGAGAGATTGTAAGAATGTGAAAAATGTTTTTTAATTGATAAAATTGTATTTTAAACATATTAAAAAAAATTCTCATCAAAGCTTTAATTCTTAAAACAAAAATGGACAAAGTATCCAAAAGCGAAAAAAATCTATTATGACTAAAAATCGGAATTTTGGTGATTTTGTTATGCCCATATTATTATCCCGTTAAAAGGTTAATAAAAAGAATACTTGTTCGATGTATTATTGATAACCTGTGCCTTATTTAAGAAAGCTCT